GAGAAGGTGAGACAAGGGGGCAGGCAGCAAGAGGAGGGGAGGGAGGGCAGCACACGCACGCGAATCGACTTGTCCAGACTGCCCGAGACGACGTGCGTCTCGTCGAACTGCAGACAGGTGACGGGCGCTGTGTGTCCCAAGAGCGTGCGGTGCGCTTGTCCCGTGCGCACTGGTTCAAGGCGGGGTGTGCGTACCGTCAGCTTTGCGCGCGCGCGCGAAGAAGAGAGAGAGGAGAGAGGAGAAAGAGAGGAGGGGGGAGGGGGCAATGGGAGAAAACTCACTGTCCCACATGCGCACCGCTCCATCTCCACTGGCACTGGCAAGAGCGTAGCCCCAGAACTGCACGGCGCCCACAAAGTCGGTGTACATCTCCCAGCTGCCGTCTGCGTATGCCGGCGTCGCGGCCGAGAAGTTGCCGTTGAGATCGAGGAGCGGCGCGCCCGCGGCCGCGGCGCCCGGCAGGCCGCCGATGCCGAGGCCGGCCGAGGAGAAGGAGTCGCGCGAGCGCCGCGGCGACGAGTGCAGCGCCGCCTCGGCGCCAGAGGCGGCCCAGAGAATGTCCATCGTCAGCACGCACTGGCCAGTGTTGAGGTCCCATTGACGCAGCGTCTTGTCCGAGGCGCCAGTGATCTGCAAGAGGAGAATTGATGATGAGCGAAGGGAAGGGAAAAAAAACCATGGGCGAGGCAAGAGGCCGCAAAAGCACACAACTCACCAGACAGCCCTCGTCGAAATAGAGACTCGTCACCGCCTTTGTGTGGCCCTCGAGCTTGCGCAGCATCGGATTCCACTCTTCCTTGTCCTTTGCCGCGGCGTCGGCGGAGGCGGCCAGGCGCACGTGCGGCTCCTGCTCCTCTTCCTCTCCATTCTTCATCTCCAGGCGCGTCTCCCAATCCTCGACGCGGCGCAGGTCCCACAGGCGCACCGTGGCGTCCTGCGAGCCGGTAATGCAGAGTTCCTCCTCGACCTGCAGCGCACGCACGCCGGCCGTGTGGCCGCGCAGACGGCCCACTTGCGTGCCCGAGGAGAGATCCCAGACGAGAGGAGACGCCTCTTCGCCAGACGACGACACGAGGGCGCCGTAGGGCTCCGAAAAGTCGAGAGAGGTAATGGGACCGCGGTGGCCTGCCAATGTCTGCAGAGAGAGAGAGAGAGAGAGAGAGAGAGAGAGAGAGAGAGAGAGAG